TTTCATACGCTCTAGTTTTTGCTATGGTTTGGGAAAGATGGCTCACAGAGGTCAGAATATTTCTAAGCCTCAATAAACGGTTTCTCCTCATCTCTTACGCTCCACACAAACGAGACACCAACAGCAGTAAGCCGCTAAAGCGGAGCTAAGAAGGGAGCGAGTGGAGGAAAAAACAGTTTTCTCCTCCACTTTTTTCAGGAATGGTGTGTCTGTTGTCACATAGCAGCACGTCAACAATCACCAACACACTGAGGGTTGCATAGGAAAAATCACAGCACCAGCCATTTATAACAGATGGATGCAACAGCCATGACATCTCCCAGTGGTTTTGGTTTTGTCAGTATTTTGGCTGCACCATGTTGGGTTTTTGTGACCATATTTGTTGGACGGGCTGCACCACGTAGTGGAATGAATTAGTTGTCATATTAATCAAAAAACTCAGTTTCAGGACGTTTTTTCTACTCCTGGTTCTGTATGATGTCAGTAAGAGAACATATCATTAATGCTCATATCTCAGCAGCACTGCTTATCCCTGGCTGTGAACACAGAAGCCCTGACCAACTCATTTTGATTGCGATGGGCAGCCAATCAAAAGAAAGTTGGCTTAAAGGGGCGAGAGCTAAAATCTAGGGTCTGCACCAGCATTCAATGAAAGACAAATAAGGATTATTTTCACCTGTATATCACGTAGCCTTCATCTCAGTCATCAGTTAAAATAGCATGTGCCTTTCTTTAGATTTTTGCTTAGTAGAAAAAAATGAATACACCCAGTCATGTACATCCAAGATCCACCAATGAAGCGCCAGCAAGGATGGGCTGGGCTAAAGTTGTTCTTCATACTGCAAGTGTTGCTGCAGCATCATCCTCTTTAGACTTTTGCTCTTCTTTGTGCACACCGTGAGTCTGTGAGGATGTGCCCGAAACCTTTCTGAGTTTCTACAACTGTGAATCATGCAAAGCTACTCCAAAGTCCAAAATAAACACATGGAAATTTGCATATTAGGTCTTAAGATATTAGACATCTTTTGTCTTTCTTTTGTTTTTCCTAACAAATCTTAACGCATTCTTTGCCTGAATCTAACAATATAAAATAGACATATTTTTCACCAGTTTTTGAAGTCAAAGACATGAAATGTTTTTCTGTTAACTGGACTCTCAGATCAGAAAACACCTCTATTTTAGCTCAAAAGCACAGCTGCAAAAACATATTGCGTCATTCAATTAAAATGAATTGCAACAAAAAAGGTTGGGAAACCGTGGTCTGTGGTATCGGTGTGGAAGAGTCCTCACGGAATAATCTTAACACAAATGACTTTTAGCTTCAAAACACTCCAAGAGGATGTTTTGAAACTAAGACCATCAAATATGGTGAACTTCCTGTAGACGAAGAGAAAGCTAAATCTGCCCTCTGCGAGCGAAGCAATCGTGATCACTGGTGCTCGTGCAGGAACCAAATAACCTTTTAACACTGAGACAGGAAACAGAAATGAATAACATGCAATGGAGTGGAAGCAGAGACACATGCTGCCCATGTTTAATTGCCAAGCAGAGAGTGTGATTGTGTGCGTGCGTATGTCTCTGTTGGTGTACAGTATGTGAGGGGGTGAAGGACTGTGCGTGTGAGTACATGCGTGTGTGTTGGTGGGATGGTTAGAAAGAGACAAGGGAGCACATATGGCCCGAACAGTCGGGGATGGAGCTCAGAACTCCCACATGACATGGCAGATAAAAATAAAAATGGGAGAGAGAGGTGCACAGACAGTGACGGAGAGAGAGATAACTGGGCTCTGCTGCGACGTAACAGAAAAAAACCACATGTGTTTGTCTGGGTAACATTCACATTGCTGTCCATTTGTGTGTGTGTGTGTGTGTGTGTGTGTGTGTGTGTGTGTGTGTGTGTGTGTGTGTGTGTGTGTGTGTGTGTGTGTGTCCAAGTCTGTGGTGCTCTTTGGTGAAATGAGAAGAAGAACAGAGTGTGTAGACTGTATATAAAAGATGGATGTCACCCACTGGTTGGTCAGGTCCTGTTTAAAAGTCTTAATTTTAGCATTCTGGCTGCCAAAATGTTTTTTTTCTGGTGCCAGATGTGAACGTATTTGGACAAAAGGTTGGAGTGCCAAACTATTTAATTCAGGTTTTTTTTTTATTCACAACAACAGTTGCCTCAAGGTGCTTTATATTGTGAGATAAAGACCCTACAACAATACAGCGAAAGCAGAGAATACCCCATCGATCATGTGACACCCTATGAGCAAGCGCTTTGGAGACAGTGGGAAGGAAAACCTCCCTTTTAACAGGAAGAAACCTTCAGCAGAACCAGGCTCAGGGAGGGACGGCCATCTGCCGTGACCATTTGGGGTTAGGGGAGGAAGACACAACACAGACACGCTGTGGAAGAGAGCCACAGATTAACAGTAACTACCAGCTAATGTTAGCAGCTTGGTTAACAAGGTAAATCCACAGACCACATGGGTGCATCTCACAGACCCAGATACCGCTTCAATCATCATCATCATCCGGTTTGTTCCAGTGCATACACACAGCTGATGCTCCAGCTGTTGTCACTGGAGCAACTGCAAGATCTACCCAAGGTTCTTCATGAGTGACGGCGTCAGTGTATCCGGTGCGTGGAGCACCACACAGTCGCTTCCATCCTGCAACACTTGCATCAGACTGTGGGCCTGCCTGGATCGGATAAGTGCGAGGTAGCCGCTGAAGATGTGCAAGCCACCACTCTTGCCACTGTGCAGGCAAAACAGGTGTGGGAGGTTTCTGTGTTGTCAGTCTGACCATAGCAGCTCCATATTATCTAATTCATCCCTTATCCCTCTTCTCCACATGTCCAAACCAGCTCAACCTTGCCTCTCCAAATGGTCTCCAAACAGCTCAACCTGAGCTGTCCATCTGATGACTAAAGTCCAGCTGTGGATCAAGCATACAAATGAAGCTACAAATAAGCTGCATGGACCCCCGGTTTAGCCAATGTGCACTCTTAGGTTAGGAAAACATCATGCAGGTCAAAATGTAGTCACAAATGTAGAAAAGTGACAAAAAAAGTAGGACACACACCAAAGGACATGCTGTGTGTCAAAACTGCACTAATTGAGGCTCCAGAGATGAAAATGTGCTGATAAATTGTTTTGATGAAGCAAATTAGCCTCGGAGCATAAACCTTTTCATATGTACAAGACTATGAATATGTTTAATTCTTTGTTATTTTTTATTTATTTATTTTTTGGAGCCACCTTTAAGTGGCCATCATGGGACCTGTCGTTTTTTCAGTGTTGGGTTCATAATTTGGTGATTATAACTTGGATGGTCATGTGTCAGTGAAACATGCAAAATAAATGTGATTCATGACATGCACTGAGCATGAGAAGTCAGATACTGGAAAGTGATAAGAAGACATGAATTACATGGTCACCAGTTCAGTGGATCAGCACTTGTTATTAATACTAAAGGTCTTTAAATTTAATTGGATACACTTTTACTCTCATACTCTTTCTCATATTATAACATATTATAACATAAAGAACATCTGAATGTTTAAGAAGAAGCACACCAGCAAACATCTTAATGAAAGAGAGGCCTGAGAATAAAACGGCTATGTCATCATTATCACTTCCTGCTTAAATTCTTTCAGCGGTGATTCACCAGCCCCTGAAAAGATCTCACTTTGCACATTTAAAAGTCATTTTTTACACCTTTTTAAATAAGCGCGGCCAGGATTTGTGATTAGTGTTTGTCATATTCAACAATAATGGCTTCATGTAGTGGACATTAATACAAATATTTGCATTTAGTGTTTAAAAATTGGCGTTAAACCTTCCAAACTCCCATCTTCTGTTTTCAGCTAACAATCTGTATGCTGAACTCAATTTAAAAAATAGTCATTATAAAATAACATGTTCAGTCCTCTTTAAAAATGCTCCAGCGATGGATAATTACAAGTTATAGTCATGGACTTCAGGCTGAGGAGGAACTCATTTCCACCCGTTTACCTGGCACTCTATTTTTGTGTGAAATGGGTGTAACCTGCAGTGCGCCTGCAGAGCTCAACACACCACGACTTGAGTAAATAGGCAAAACAAGCAAATCAAGAAAACACCATCATCTGTTTGGCAACACAAGTGGAGCTTCTTCTTTCTTTTTTTTAAAGGAAGCTGCAACTGCTGAGCCATCAATCAAAGAGGGGCCTTTGTGTAATCCATACATTTGGCTGCTGTCTCTGTTTTTGTTTGTTGTCTGTATGTGAAGAGTATTTCTGTACCTGCGCCTTGCTTCCATATCTTCTGGAGAGATTTCTGTATTTGTGAAAACTAAACTTAAACTGGTATGAAGTGTGTAAATATTTAAAAGGCCTTAACTATCTGCCGCAATAGAGGACAGATGCTACATTTAAACTTTTGCCTGTTTTGTTGTGTTGTGCATTTATAGTTTGTTTTTTGTTTTTTGCACACTTTTCGCTCATTTTTGCATTTTGTTGTTTTAAAGTTTGTATGTTTGAGCTCATTTTTAAATTCTTGGATTGTTTTATGAAGTTGCAAAAAACTGAGTAACTGCTTAATTTGGTATGATGCGATCTTATGCGCAAGAATCAAATGATAATAATTTATTTATAAATCTCCAAACAGTAAAGCCCAACCACCCCTGCAAGTTTAAACTATGGCTGACTTTAATGAAATTTTGAAACTACCTCTTGTGTTTGGGCTTTTTTCCCTACTCGTTTCTGCTGAGTTTTAGATTTTCAAAGACATTTAACATTTTGATTCTTCATCTATATTTGCGGCTCATTTTTAGTGTTGTATAGTCTTGCGTTTCTTTTTACCCCCTAAACGCAGTTTCTGTCTCTTTGCGTGCTTCTCCCTTAAGTTCCAATATGTTAACCTTTCTCTTAACCCTTTATTAACCCGTTAAAACAGCTCAGGACAGGTCACACGTCCCCTGGTGGATTCCACTCCGTGTTTTCCTGGTTTCCACCATCGGGCTCTTCGCACAGCCTTTAGCTGGTTTTTACTAAACTCCTGATATCACTCCGCTGGCATGGTGGAGAAGCGGACCTGATTATTGTGATGGTGGCAGGCAGTGACTAGAGACTTCCGCCACTGCTTCCCGTATCCGCGTTTTGCGCCGTCTGTCCTACTATCTGGTTGCTTCACAATCGGACTACCGAAGGCGCTTGTGCGCTTTCCCCCCAACTCAACAACATCTTACCCGGGATTTCTTTCAAACCAAAACCAGATGAGATGCAAGTTCACTGGGAAACTCTGGAGCCCGTTCGGTTTAGGCAGCAAAACTTTTTCTCAGAGGACGGCACGGTGAACCGGAGAGTGGACTGTTGCTGTAGCCGCCGCTGCTCCTCTGCGGGACGGTTTGTGCGCATATGAGCGCTGGGTGCCCACTCGCACCGTCGCTGAACCGCTGTGTGTTTTTGCTCTTATCAGCGTGGCAGCGGCTTTATTGTTGAATTCAGTTTGGGGGCTTTGTGTTGTTTGTGTTCAGCACTTGGAAAGAAAAGAAGAGACGCTCAGCCGCATGACCGAGAGCCTCGCAGCCCTTTAAACCTTCCACTCCCGGTTGTTGCCCTCTTCTTCAGCGGCCGTATCTTCCGCCCGCTGCTCGGGACCTTTCGCCGGCGGAGGACGCGCAGAGAAAGCGGACTCTAGGTGGTGGAGTGGAGGTGGAGGTGGAAGGAGGAGGAGGTGGCGGCGGTGGCGCTGAGCTTAACTGGGAGAAAAGTTCTTCCAAAATAGCCGCCGCTCGGCCCCGTGATGGGGGACTTCGCCTCCCCCGCTGCCGGACCCAACGGCAGTATCTGCATCAACAACAGCATGAACCCGGCCGCCGCGAGCATGGGGCCCGCCGCGAGCGTGGTGGGAATACCTAAGCACAGCACGGTGGTGGAGAGGCTGAGGCAGCGGATAGAGGGCTGCAGGAAACACCACATAACCTGCGAGAACAGGTACCAGCAAGCCCACGCCGAGCAGATGGAGATAGACCGCAGGGACACGGTCAACCTGTACCAGCGGACTCTGGAGCAAAGGGCCAAAAAGTCCGCCAGCGGCAGCAGCACCAAGCAGCCCCAGAGCAAGCAGCTGGACCCGGACTCTGCGTCCTCCGCGGAGCAGAGGAATAACACGCTCATAGCGGTAAGGACGAGCTGACTGCGACGGCCACCTACAACTCACACACAAACACGACACACTTTCGCTCATTTCCCCTCCATCTCTGCTCCCCAGTCTCTCTCTCCCCCCCCAACCCCAAGCAAGCTGCACAGCTTCTTCTTGTTCATCACTCAGAAAACTTGTTGAAAACATGCTCGCTAATCGCTGCTTTCTTTCTCAGCGCTCGCTTCACTTTCTTTCCTCCAAGTTCTTTTGTTTACAAAGAAGTCCGGCCCCTCGTTGGAGCCAACAGGCTGCAGTTTGGGGCTTGGATTGTGCTCTGTGTGGAAATTAGAAGCCTGGCAACTGATATTTGATCTTATTCTGCGAGATCAGTGTTTTTTGTTTTGTTTTTTGGGAGGGGGCACTTTCAGTTGTCAGGTTCTGAAACTAGTCAGTAACTTCTGGAGGATGGCTCGCGGTGTGTTTGCATCTAAAAAACAACTTCTGCTTTCTTGTTCTTGGGTGGAAATTGTTCTGCAACACAGGAGAGCATTAGCATTGCAACACTGCTTCCTTGCTCTCGGCAGCAGCAGCAGTTAATGCTCCAGCCTGCACTGTAACCTTTGTCACATACTCTCAAAATCTGCAGTCTGTCCCCAGTGTGTCACACACACACACACACACACACACACACACACACACACACACACACA